ATGAAACGTCTCGGACAGCGTCGGCGCGCCATCGTTGTCGTTGTCGCCCGCCTGCAAAAGTGCAATGTCAAAGACGTCTGCCGCCAGTAGCCGGTCGACGACGGCCTTGTCACGACGACCAACGAGCGAATCAAACGTCGGCGTCAAACTACGTGTCTCGAGCCGGATCGTGACAGCAATAGCGTCATAGCGAGCGTAGTTGCGGGAAGCCTCCTGGAGCTCTGGGATCGTTGGCAGCGGCGGTGGCGCATACTTGGGCGTGGGCCCGTAGTCGTCCGAGTCGTCATCGTCTAAGTCGTACGTGGCATAATACACGGCAAAAGACCGGTGCCCGGACGTGATGGGCGCCACGGTCACGTCACACGTGCTGTAGAACGAGAGAAAGCGCCGGTCGAGTGCCTCGTACGTCGTTGTCCGGTGGCCGTGTGAGATCGTGATGGCGCCACCGACGCAGTTGGACGGGAAAAAGTAGACAACCGTGGCAAAGGTGTGGGGTGGCGCTTGCATGGATGTCAGCGTCAACGTCGACGCGTCACCGGTCGTATCGATGGCAAAATGGGCCAGTGTCTTGCCAAACTCGAGTTGCTCGTCGTACTCGTTTTGCTCGGGGTCGAGCTGGCCGAGGAGGAAGGACTCGGCCATGACCTCATGCCTCGTAATGTCGTAGAAGCCACGGAAGACGACGTCCTTGGCTGGGATGAGGCCAGCGTACGTGGTCGTCAGCGCCGCGAGGGTCTCCGTCGGTAGCGGCCACGAAGGCACGGCAATGCTACCGAGTGTCGCCGTCGGGTTGCGCTCGACGGCAGGCTTGTACAAGCAGCAGTGCGGCACTGCCACGTCACGCGCAAACGAGCGCAAATGATACGCGTCCTCGCCTTCGTCTTCACTCATCGAAAAAGCAACTGTGAGGGGATGGCCAGGGGCATGGCTATCTCAAGTCGTTGGACCATCACTCTGACACGGATTCTACGTGTCGCATGTCACTTGGTATCCTCGACGACGGCGACAGCTGTTGCTACCAAAGCACAGGAAAATGCAGGCATGGCAATATTACGCCCGCTATAAAGCTGCGTGTATTGGTCTTGTTGGATGCCACCTTTCTGCGTCGATCGAGCTGGCCGAAGGAGCCTCACAGAGCCGTGCATCCCTCGGTGTACCGGTACCTTAAAGTACATACACACAATGCCGTGCTACAGTGTAATGCCGGATGTCACAGAGCCGGTCTGCGTGATGGTCGTTAGTTTACCCAGTGCACGGGGGCGTGCATGGTGGTCCGCTCTTCAGGAGGTGCAGGCTGCCACTTTGCTCAATGATATCGCCTTGGGAGGCTTCGTTTAACAGGTGCAGGCGACAATATCTCCAGCAACTGGTGCATGAAAGACGATCATGTACGTACGGTCGACCGGCTCAGGGCCACTCAGCGTTACACCACACCTCAGCAGAGACGTGACGATCGGTCGGGTCAAAGGTTGATGAGAGCACATTGCCTTTTGCGTTCAACTGCGATAGAGAGTAGCATGGACTTGCGAACATTTGCGCGTGAGGCCGCGATGCCGCAATGCTGTCTGTACACGCCTGGCGACGAACGCAACCCGACGGCGACCGTTGACGGCATCGAGATTGCCTCGTGGCCTCTCTCGCCCGACACTGTGGCGGCGCTCACGACCAAGCATGCTGGTCGCGTCCCGGCCGACGACGTTACCCTCCACGATTTCTACCACACTAGAGACTATGTGGATCTCAAGCTGGCACACTTGCTTGGTGGTCCAACACCGCAACTTCGCTACGAGAAACGGCTCAGTGTTGGATATCGCGACGACACCTGCATCCAACCGCAAGACTGAATCCAGCACATATATATATGTATTAGAGACGCAATAGGGCGTAGAGCAGTGGACACTAGCTTTATTCGTTGTCTTCGTACTCTTCCAAGAAGAGCATGTCCATCGACGTCGAGGATGACCTCTTGTCGACTCCAGTGCACTCGCCTTTGAAGTCAAAGCTGTGGCGCCAAGTTTGCAT